ATTTTAACCCAGGTGTCGTCAACATACCTGAACCAATGACTTGGTGGTGTCCCTGAAAAGGACGTCAAGGCTCTCTTTTCTACCTCCTCCATGTACAGGTTGGCAACAATAGGAGAAACTGGAGACCCCATAGCACACCCATGTTTCTGCCTATAATATTGCTCCCCATATGTGAAGTAGGTTGACTGCAGGCACAGTTTCAAGAGTTGACACAGTTGTTCTGTGGAAAGCGTGGTCCTACTGCTCAGAGTGGTGTCTGATTTTAATTTTAAACTGACCACCTCTACTGCGTCATCAACAGGAATGCACGTCAAGAGTGATGTGACATCAAAAGAGACCATTGTTTCATCAGTCTCCATGATCACATCCCTCACCTTATCCACAAAGTCCATGGTGTTCTGTATGTGGTGTTCTGAGCTGTCAACTAAAGGGATGAGTACAGACGCCAGATATTTGGAAACATTGTAAGTGACAGAGTTAATCATACTAACAATTGCTCTTAAAGGTACACCTTGTTTGTGGATTTTAGGTAAACCATACAGACTAGGTGTGGCCTCCCCTGGGTACAGTCTGTGGTACAGAAAACGGTCAATAGCCTTGTCCTGCTCCAAAATTTTCAGGCAATCTATTAACTTTTTCTTGTGACCACTTCCTGGATCTCTTTTCAGAGTTTCATAAGTGTTTAAGTCACTAAGGAGTGTCATAACTTTCTCATGATAGTCTTTCTGGTTCAAAATCACTGTGCACCTTCCTTTGTCTGCTGGGAGAATGATGATGTTTTTGTCCTTGCTAAGAGTGGTGAGTGCATCCCTCTCCTCTCTACTGATTTTTGAAGGTGGTGGTTTGGCATTGCTGAGGCAGGCTGAAACTTTGACTCTGAGCTGTTCTGCTTCAGCCTCTTTAATTTTGTTGTTGCGGATGGCTGACTCAGTAGCTGTGATCATCTTCACCAGAGGAATTCTACTTGGTGCAACCGCAAAGTTCTGTTCTGTTAAGTTAAGTCTGTTTGCCTGCGTCCCTCATTGTCTGGTCATTGTGTCTCACTGTGATGCTCCTCGTGTCCTGCTCCTTGTGTCTTGCGTCCTGTCCCATGATTTATGTAAGTTTGCTGCCCTGTCAGCCATCTTTATTTTGGAAATAATAAATTATTAATTTATAATCCTTGAGTCTTGCCTGCCTGCCTGCACCAAATGGGTCTCCTGCTGAGAAATCCTCACAGAATGACCAGACCAAACCAAGACCCAGCAGGCAGCCCGACTCTCACTGTGCTGTCCCTGGAAGACAAGCTGTGGGGTCCTTTTAGAGACTCTGAGCCTCCAGCTACACCCCCGGCGCTTCCTCAGTTCCTGCTCCTGAGGTCCTCACAGCTGCAGCCTCTGTGGTCGCTCCCATGCCTACTACAGTTTCCATAGTTTTTCCATCT